CAACAAGAACAGCACAAAAGACCCAAATCCACTGCCACTGAGGATTGCTGTCTCATAGAATCCCATGTAGGGTTTCTGAGACTTCCGATCTACATGGGAGCAGACAGCCTCATGCCAGTCCCATGCCTTGTAGGTTTAACCTCTGGACATTTCGAGAGTTCACATTTTCCAAGAAAGCCTCTTGTGTATTGCCTTCTCATGACCTGCTCATCCACAGACTGCCTTATGCCATTTCCCAGTCACCCACTCACCTGGAGAGGTGTCTTGGGGGATTTCTCTTTTCACCACACAAGGATTTTTTCGAAGCAACTGGCAGTTCATTTTTGGCACTGAAAATGAAATCCCTGTTCATGAGGAAGAAATGTTTTAAAATAAAATGTTTAAAATAAATATCAATCACAACATTCACATATTAGAAGGAAGGTCTAGGCAGGAGAGTGGGTACCACACACAAAATAACTTGGAAAGAATATAGAGTTCCGAATATAAGGAGTATCTTTAAGATGGGAGACTTTTATGTGACTCATAACCTATTCTGAGACTGGAGTAGGGGAAGGTTTCCAGGAGAGGATTGTGAAGGGGAAGTTGGGAAGGTTGATAAGGATAAGAACAGCATCAAGAATATTTCTACAAAAATGTATTTATTTTTAACCCTACAGAGCTTCAACCTTTCTCAGGACACAGATTAGAAGCCTCCAGACTGAACCTCAAAGAGGAAGCAAAGGTGTTTCTATAGTAAATTCTTCATTATAGACAAGCCTCCATACCCACTAAGCCCAGAAAATGAAAGCTATAAAAAAATCACACACCTATATACACTACATATTGAATCACATATTCTGTACTCCTATGACAAGAGAAATCTGACTAAGGAGCAACACATTAGGAGAAGTCAACTCTCCTTCAGAATCTGATGGACCACTTAATAAAAACTGTAGAAAGAGGGGACATGCCCGTCTCAACATTTCCCACCTGGACAGCACATCATGGAGGCCCCTGACTAGTATCTCCAAATGTAGCCTCCTCACTGGCAGTCCCCAGGTTATCAGAATGCACTATTTCCATCATTGCCCCTCACCTTTGCAGACACCGTCAGAAACTCCTTTTCCCACCATCCAGGGGTCTTTCCCTTGCTGCAACTGGGAGATAAGCTTTGGTTTGGAAAATGGAATCCCTGTGCATGAAAAAGAAAAAGGATAAGAATACAGGTTTCAAGCATAAAAGGCCATTCAGCCCTCAGGTACAGCTTGCGTCACCAGGAGAGAGAATAATACAAGGAAGCAGAGAGGTGTGTTCTGAGATGAGCTTTAAAAATCAGGCACCAGAGGGCAGTAGGAAAGGTGTCCTGGAAAGAAAGTTAGGGCTCTGGCTGGAGCTGGAACCTTCTAGGATTAGAGGAACTAAGGGAGCAGAAGAAAGGAAAAGTGTAGTAGAGATGCCCACCATTAACTCTATGAAGCTGAGACCTATTCCAGCAGCAATCTCTGAGGCCACCTACAGGCTGAACCTGAGTAAGCCATTCAAATGTCCTCCTTGGAAATGGCATTAAGCTGTTCCCATAGCAGATTCTGCATCACAAGGAAAGCTCCTTACCCAATGAGACCAGGTTTCTGTAGTTCTCCAGCATCACCTCTCGGTACAGGGCCCTCTGAAAAGGGTCCAAGTATCTCCATTCCTCCTGGCTGAAGAGCACAGCTATATCCCCAAATGTCACTGTTTCCTGTAACAAACATTCATTCCTATTTATTCAGGACTAACTTCTTCAAAGGTCTCAGAAAGATGCAGTAATAAGGTGAACATTGGGATTTCTAGAAAGCTATTCTAGAAATGTCTCCAAATTCTAAATATTTCAAATCAACAATTGGTGTGTGTGCGTGTGTGTGTGTATGCATGCTTAGAATATCCATCAATTTATTGAGTACCCACTGAGAGCAAAGATAAATGGGCATACCAAGTGCCGAGAGGGTAGGAGAAGAGGGCAAAGTTCCCAACAATAAAGAATTTAAATTTTAAATGGGAACTTTCAAAGCAATCATTTATATATATTTACTTCTGCCAATCTACTTAAAATACAAAATAAATGAAAGAGAAAAAAAAGGAATACATTTAGGAGAAATGCTTGAGTACTAAGAAATACCATTAGTTGAATACAAATATAAAGAAATTTCTGAGATATCAAGTTAATAATACAAATATTTTCTTAATACTTATACATTAGAAATTATAAGGACTTTTCATCTATTAGCTTACTTAAGTCTCATAATAATCCCATGAGGAAGATACCATTATCAAACCAAGTGAAGAAACAAGATTATCAAAGTTAAGTAACCTTTCAGAGGTAATACTAGTAGAAAGTGGTGGGGTTTAGGATCTGAATCCAGGTAGACAGACTTCTAAGCTATACTGTCAGATGGGTTTAATTTGATTATGAAAATCTAAAAACCAAAGACCTTGGAAGACTATACAGGTTTAAGACGGAATTTGTTGAAAAGCAAGTTCTCCCAGGAGAACTTCAGTAAAACTCCAGAACATGAGAAGCATGGTTCAGCTGGTGGACGGTAATGTTGTATAAGAGAGCTAACAAAAAATAAATTGCTGCAATGCTTTTTGGTGGGTATTTTATCCAGAGTCTATTTATACATTTGAACTTGCAATTCTACTTGTAGGATATTACTCTGGAAATAATCACAGAAGTTATAAAGGTATTTATTTAAGGATGTTTAGTGCAAGTGTTGTTGTTGTTGTTTAGGTCCCAGGAAGTTGGGTCTGACTCATAGTGCCCCTATAAACAGTGGAGCAAAACACTGCCCAGTCCTGCCCCATCCTCACAACTGTTATATTTGAGCCCATTGTCGCAGCCACTGTGTCGATCTATCCTGTTGGGGGTGTTCCTCTTTTTCACTACCCCTCTACTTTACCACGCATGATGTGCTTCTCCAGGGACTGATATTCCCTGACAATATGTCCAAAACATAGACAAAGTCCAAGAGATGTGTTGTGTTTTTTGGCAGTCCATGAAACATAATGTTCTTCTCTAGCACCACAATTCATATTCATCAAGTCTTCTTCAGTTTTCCTTATTCTATGTCCAACTTTCACATGCCTATGAGGCAACTGAAAATACCATGGCTTAGGTCAAGCAAACTTTAGTTCTCAACGTAACCTCCTTGCTTTTAAAACACGTTAAAGAGGTCTTGTACTGCAGATTTACCCAATGTAATGCATCCTTTGATCTCTTGCCTACTGCTTCCATGAGCATTGATTGTGGATCCAAGCAAGAATAAATCCTTGACAACTTCAATCTTTTCTCCATCTATCATGTGGTTACCTATTGGTCCAGTTGTGAGGATTCTAGTCTTCTTCACATTGGGTTGTAATCCATACTGAAGGCTGCAGTCCTTGACCTTCATCAGCAAGTGCTTCAAGTTCTCCTCACTTTCAGCAAGCAAGGCTGTGTCATTGCATATTGCAGGCTGTTAATAAGGCTTTTTCCAATCCTGAAGCTGCATTCTTCTTCATTAATTTAATATTAAAGTGCAATATTACTTATATTAATATCTTGTTGTAGGCTAAATAATGACCCCCTAATCTGTCCACATCCTCATTCACAGAATTTGTAAATGTTACCCAGTATGAAAAAAGGCACACTGCAGATGTATTTAAATTAAAGATGTGAAAATGGAGAGATTATCCTGGATTATTATTCAGATGGACTGACATGACTGCAATGGTCCTTTTAAGAACAACCTGGGAAAAGTTAGAGTCAGCAGAAGGTGATGTGATAGGGGAAGCAGAGAATCCAATGATTCACACTGAAGACAGAGGAAGGGCCCTAAGTCAGAGAGTAATGGTGGCCACCTGAAGCTGAAAGAAGCATGAACACAAATTCTTCTCTTAAGAGTTTCCAAAAGTTCGCCCTGCTGACACCTTGACCATAAGATCAGTGAAAATGATTTAACTTCTGATCTCTAGAACAGTACACGAATGAATTTGTGTTATTTTAAGCTATAACTTTGTTATAACCACAGTAGGAAATAATAATGACATGGTTTCTTACTGCTGTCGGCAGAATACTCCCTCAAGACAAGTGCACATATATGTCTTTCCATTCCATTACCAATGGGCCTTACAATACTTCCTACAAATTGGCATCCCTTTCTTTTAAAATTTCATTGGCTTTTTAAAAAAAACACAAAGTATACAAGTTACTTCAGAAAAAAATGAGAAAATACCTGAAAGCAAAATTTAAAAAATTATATAATTTATAATCATGCTAAATCTCAGAGACAACTTTTTTCAGGAAGGTATTTCAGAATTTATATCCATTATTATGCTTTAAGAATATACTCCAGAGTTTACATCCAATTATATAACAAGTATTCTTTTGGAAAAATTTTAAATAAGAGGAAATAAGTACATGCTAAAAAATATAAATAGCATAAAGGTATGTTAAGTGTTCTCCCTTCTCCCAGATTAGCAGTTCTTTACAGAAATATTTGATGCACAGGACACATGGGTCCTTTTCTAATGGTAAAATTCTGAATCTTGTTTTACTTGCATCTTATAGATCTTGCCACATCTGGAAGTATAGACCTATTTTTTATAAAAGCTCTATGATAGACACTATTATACTGATAACACAACTTATTTAATTATTTCTCTTATTGAGGGATATTTAGATTTGTTACATGCTATCACAATGTCAAGTTGCTTATCCTCAAATGAAGATCTCTGGATACATGTACATCAATATTCATAAATTTCTAAAAAATAGACAATCAAAGTACATGAGCATTTCCTATTGTGACATACCAGGATTTACTTTCAGGATGACCACACCTATATGTTACCTATCCCTTGTGCTCTTCCTATAATTGTGACATAGCATTCCTGCACCAAGAATGGAGGTCCAGATTTCCTCCCTTGAATCTGTGCAGGGGCTTCTAAGTGTCTTGACCAATGGAATTAATGCTGAGTGACTTCTGAGCAAAAGTAATAAAGCAATATGCTTTCCTCCTGGCTCACTTCCACTCGCGTGCTCTTCATCCTCACTTTTGCACTTCAGCCACCACACTGTACGCCTACTACTCATGGAGAGATCGTGTATCGGCATCCCATGAAACATCTCTAGTCAAGGTCTCAGCCACCACTTAACACCAACTTTTGAGATGATTCAACCTTAGTCTTTCTGCTGAAACCCTTGACTGGTAAAACAGAAATAAGTTGTTTCCACTGCTACCTCTTCAGTCATGACCCAGAGAAACTGGGAGAAATGATCAACTGTTTCATTCAATAATAAATCCTAAGGCTTGGGACAACAGAAAACTAAATACAGTCTGTATTGCCAAACTGCACGTTGTTACAGGTTAAGCCACTTTATTCTCCTCCACAGTGTGAGAAGACCCGCTGGTATAAAGTCAGCTCCATAGTGTTTCCGAGGCTCTCGGTCTTTAGAAAAGCAACTGCCACATCTTTTTGTCAAAGGCACCTGGTGGGTTTGAACCCTGCCTGCTTTGTGCTCTTAAATTTCTAGATCTTAATCAATTTAACATTAAATAGTATAAAGATTTGAATTTCTTTAATTATGAAATATATTAATCAGTTTTCATAATTAATAATAATTCCATCCTCCACAGCTTATAGTTAGAATCCTTGCTTATGTTCCTGTTTGTTATTTTACTTTTTCTTATTCACTTTATTTTCTGCTGCTAAAAACCTTTTTAAACTGTATCTTGATTATGCTGGATTGAACCTGATACTTGGCCAGTCGAACTCCCTATAGATACGGCCTGAACTGGCTCCAAGCAGTTCATAGTTGTTCTGTGACAGAAATTTCTTCCCAGGCTTTTTGAATGTTGATGGGAATCTTCTCCCACTGCCACATTATTTGTATTTTTGTCTTTAGAACAATAGGATCTTATTGTTACGAACTTATTGCAAGCTGTTATTGTTTTTTATGGGGTTTCCCAGCTGTGAAGCACAGGAGGAGTGGATGTATAAAGATAATTACTGATACAAAATGTAATAGGGAATGCAGGGGTAAGGGATGGGCAATAGGAAAGGAAAGGGAATTTCGGGAGTAAACAATGAAGGCGGGAAGGGGGAGGGAGCACTAGAACACATCATGACTGCACAACTCAGTTTAAAGGTGATTCAGTCCTGGGGGGAAGGAATGGTCTAAGATAGATGTGGTGATTGTACAATTCCCCTTGACATGATTGAGTGATTGAACTATTCAATTATATGATATATAAATTATGTGCCAATAAAACTGTTGGGGGTGGGGGAGATGCCGAAAGACCAAACAAAGATGTCACTTTGCTAAGGTGGATCTGACGCAAGCCATGGTATTTTCAATAGCCTCATATGCATTTGAAAGCTAGAGAGTATATAACAAAACAGGAGAATATGTCCATTTGAATTACGATGTTGGCAAAGAATATTGAAAGTACCATAAACTACCAGAACAAGTAAATATGTCCTGGAGAGGTACAACGAGAATGCTCCTTCTAAGTGAGAATGGCAAGACTACATCTCAAATACCTTGTACTTCATCAGGAGGGGCCAGGCCCTGAAGGCCATCAAGCTTAGTAAAGTAGAAGACAGCAAAAAAGAGGAAGACCCTCGGTGGGATGGATTGACAGAGTGCTTCCAACACTGGTCTCAAATACGGTAACAATGTGTGCATGGTGCAGGACGGGGCAGCGTTTCACTCTGTTG